AGCAGCGGTCGTGGAGGGATTCCCCGCCCAGCCGAGCCTGAAGGACCAACCTGGCTGCTGTAAATGGCTGTAACTCCAGTGACTTTGGTGGGTTTTTTTCTCCGCAGTCACTAAGCTGTACTAGGGCATAAGTGCGGCACACTCACTGCACCATTACTTCTAAAGTAGTGCTTTCACCCTGCCTCCATCATGTATGGGTTTCCTTTTGCAACTGAGGAGTAGGAGTCCCTTCTTCTCCCCCTCCGAGACCCAGATCCCAGGAGATTCCCGTGGGGCAGGCTGTCCCCACATCCGCACACAGCTAACGCCCAGCTGTTGCACGGTGTCATCCAGCCCTTGGGTTTGGTTTTGTGGTGTTTCCACCCCCCAGACACCCAGGAGGATCAGGGAAGCACCCCCCCCCCCCCCCTTTTTTTTTGCCTTGGAGGACCCCCTGCTTATGCAGCGGTTTAGGGGAGCGCTGCGGCGAGCCTGGAGGTTTTAAATTGGCTCATGTGGTTATTTCCAGAGTGCAGCAATCCAACGTTGTGTGTCTGAGGCTTGCAAAGCAGCAGCAATTTATCACCCTATTTACTGAAGGCAGATGGGGAACTTTTCCCCTGAAATGAGTAGAAATGGAGAAAATACTGGGAAGGAAGGAGTGGGAGGAATAGAAACTGACTGGAAGCCTTTCTGGCCAGGCGGCTGTTAAATCAGCACGCCAAAGTTCTCCCAATGAGGAGTGCAATTTGCCTGAACAATACTGCGGGGGCCAGGACACAGCAGGCAGCCCTGAGCTTGGTTTTCACTGCGCTAGATGTGCTTAGGGGTGTGCAGACACGGACCTGGAGGGTTTGGCTTCCCGTGGGTGTCCGTGCTTCTGTCCCGGGGACAATGTCAAAGCCCTGACCTTGTCCCTGACTGGGACTGGAAGGAGCCTTGAACCTCACTACAAGAACAGCACTTTAAACCTTCGGAAGACTTTAGTCTGGAACAATTCAAGGGATGTCTTCATTTGCATTGAGCAGAAAAAGAAAAATGAGAATATAAAAATATTGGTGTGCCTGAAACACAGCTTGGGGTGATGCTGGGAGTAAGGACAGGGCATCCTTTCTCCTGCAGGTTGGCAGATAGGGACCCAGTGCAAAGTGTTTCTCCTGGAGTAGATCTATCATCTTCAAGACCTGATGTAATTCATGTCTGTGTAAGGGTAGACAGACTGCTATCAGGCTGCTTTTTGTCATTATTTATAGTGCTGGAGGTATAAATCAAGCCAGGTCTCTGCAGCGGATTTACAGCAGGATGTCTGGTTTTGCATGATTCAGCCGTAGATCAATGAACAAAGCTCTGCTCTGGCACCTCCTTGGCCAGCATCATAAATCAGCAAAAGGTGTTAGACATTTTTATATTGTTCTTGGCAAGATATAAACAAAAAAAAAATACATGTGCATTTTAATACCCTCTGCTGTACTCAGAAAGACAGCGTGACCTTTTAAATACATCTGCTTTGGAGTGTTGCTTATAAAAAGTAGCTGTGTTTGCTTCAACATACTCAGTCTTTTGCTCGCTTTTAAATATTTTCCCTTTCCTCATTTCTAGGAGCCCGAGGCTTTCTAGGAAAGGTACGTTTGCAGCGACTTTTTTGTAAGCAAAAAGCAAGACAGCCTGGATGAGGAGACCAGGGCCACTGGTGGCTGCTTGGACCTCGTGTGTGGCACTATCTCCCGTCCCAGCCGTAGCTGTGGAACGAGCTCCCAGTCCTGGTGAGTTTTCTAGGCGACCCCACAGGGGATATTCAGCATTTCTGAGATGACCCAGAGACCAGCAACCCTCCTTCCCTAGGGTATCGGACTGGCTGGAGGACAAAAATGACATTTTAATATCATGGTCTGTTCTGACCTAAAGCAAAACCCAAATTCCTGCTCAGACCGCCTGGAAATGCTTATAAATCCTCCAATTCATGGGAAAATTGCAATAAAATCATCAGTCTGCAGTCCTGGGGCAAATTGTTTCCACTTCTGAGTGTGCTCAGCCCCAGTCTTTTGGGGAACAGGATATCAGGCAGTTCGAGTGCAACATGAAATGTCAGTGAAAACCTGAATGTTGCAAATAATACATTAAATCTACCCTACTGAGAGTGTAAAATGTGGTGTGCTGCTTGGGATGCCGAGTGGCTTTTGTGCAGCGCAGGGCAAGGAGGAAGGTTTTAGCTGGGTCCTGGAGAGGAGGAGGAGGGGGATGATGATGAGGAAGAGTAGGAGGGCTGGCTTATGCCCAGGGACAGGCATCGGACACGGGGGTCTGGCCATGACCAGAGCTAAGCTGCGCTTCCCTTTGCTGCTGCTGCTGTTTGGTTTTCCTTCTCTGGGAGGGGATGCCCTGCACAGAGCATTTATTTGGGATTAAGTGACTTGTCTCTCCGTGGTGGGTTGCCCTGTGAACCCCTCTGCATCGGGACCATGTGCCATGTGCTGGCAGCCTGCTCCACCGTCCTGTCGTGACGGAAATAATCCCCAGGAATGTTAAAGGGATTAACGGCCCTGGAAAGGGCAGGTAACCCGGGGGGTGCAGCTCTGCTTACAGCTGCCTGCCTGCCTCCAGCCGTTCTTCACAAGGGGAAAACCAAGAGATTGAAAATTAATCCCTAGCTGTTGGGTTTAGAAAGCTGTACAGTGGAGATCTGGGATCCTGCCCAGCACCTCTCAGCTTGGACTGTGTAGGAGAATGGAGCATGCAGCAGGACACCAGCATTCGGTTGCTTTTTGCAGATTTTCATGTGAAATGCCTCCTCCCCCTTGCCTTTTGTTTTGCCAGCCTCTCCCTGATGTCCTGCCCCTCTGCAACCTGCTCACATCCCTCGGTCCTTTCCCACACCAGCTGCAAGCTGAATTCCTCTTCCCTGGCTTTGCCGTGTGCCCTGCCCCGTGCAGCGCTGCCCTCCTGGTTCTCAGCATCCTGAACTCACAAAGCTGTGGGTGCTGTCCTCTGCAGCACAGGTCAGTGTTTAGTTTTAGGTGGAATCTATAAAGCAAACGTAGTTTGCAGTCTTTTATTTCTGCTGTGTCATTTGAGAACTGATTCTCCAACTAGAGCATCTCGGGAGAGGTTTGTCCATAGAGGCAGACGATGACCAGACTGCTCTTGTTAAAAGTACTGTATGGGCATCCCTTTCTGGGCAGAGAGTGTGAAATGCCATCCATGGTGTTATTCTGGGCATGGGATCCAGGCTCCAAGGATATTGCTACCTGTAATTCTGTGAAACCCTGTTCCTTGGTAGAAGGGATGAAACTGGGCAAAAGCCTCGGGATGCCCAGGGTCAGAGCCTTGGATCTGGGTTTGTAAAACCACTGACCCGAGGCACCGTTTCCTGGGCAGAAATGATCACTTAAAGCTGTGGCTACAGAGAAGAACCTCTGGTTTTCTGGATGCATGGGATTTATTCATGAATGTGCCTTTTTTTTAAAGAACCAACAGATTAACGAAGGGCTGCTGAAAGAAGCTGCTCACACACATCCCACAAGTCAGGGGACTGCAAAACCAACGCCCTCAGTACGGGTCAGCAGAGCTTGTTTACAGCTATTTACTCAAGTAACCTGAGCCTGGGAAATAACGTGAGTTTCTGCAATCATGGGGGGAACCTGCCCTTTTCTGGGCTCTGGCCCCCAAGGGCACTGGGGAGCCCTCCTTTCCCCAGGCTGAGGGTACCGTCCCCCACACCCGCCCTGCTCGGGAAGCCTGGCCTCACACCCTCCAAGGCTTTGCACATGCAGGTGGAGGTGCATGGGGTCTTGAACCTGGTCTCAGTTCCTTTTAAGCACTGGTACATGCACAATTCTACCTGTTGACCAGAAGTTAACTTTTTTTGGGCTTTCAGTCAATGCATTTCCACTGTCTGAAGTGGAGCTGGAATTTGGCCCTACAGCATTTCCCATGGGAGTGTCGTGGCAGAAAAGATCAGGCTGCATGTTAAGTCCTACAAAGAGTAAAGCTGAAAGTTTGTCTTTCCTTTTGGATTCCTGAATTGATGGCACTTGCTAATTTGTATGATTTTTCCTAACGTTAATTATTTGTATTGTAGAAGCACAGAATAGCTGGGGTCGGTGTCACGGGGCGGGGAAACCATTGCCTGTCAGTCTTCATCAACCCCAAAGCTTGGTGTGGTGAGAGCATCTTTCAGGTCTGCTACTGTGTTGTGGAGGATCTGCTGCTGGGGTGACAAGTGGTTTGACCTCAAAGCTGGGCACCTGCTTTTGGAAGCCACTTTCTGCATGGTCGGTAGGTTCAGGGCAGAGCGAGGCACCCGGGTGCTGGCTGTAGTGGGTCAGATGGGGGTGCTGCCCGATGGGGGGGCTCGCAGTGCCTGGGGTGAGTCCCTGAAGCTGAGCCCACAAAATGTACCTTAATGCCCTGATGAATCCATGCCTCGCTGTTATGCAGCCGAGCCCGGGACAAAATGCCCCTCGTGCCTTCCCATTAACTTAATGACTGCTGCGGCTTACGTGATGATGTTAATGATGATGAGGATGGTAATGATGATGATGATATAATAATAATGACGACATAATAATAATGATGATATAATGATGATGATGATAATACTAATACTACTAATAACATGTCAAGCCCAAAGATTGGCAGATGCTAGTCATTACCATCCCTGAACGAGACGGTACCAGTTCCCATCCTCACCGTGATTTTCCTCTCCTCTGGTTCCTGCCGTGCCGGCAGCTCAGGAGCATCTCATACTGATGGACCTGGCACACTCCCCCTTGCTTGTCACCGGGTGACCGTATCACCGATAAATGATACATGTGCTCCGGAAAGGAGGCAAAGAGCCTTTGTCTGCTTTTAATCTATAGTTGTAAATAATTAAGCAAGGCTAATTCTGGTATTTATAATGCAATAGAGTGAGTGTAACTCGATGTGGCCGTGGTGGGAAGCGGGGCAGTTCCCAGCTATCGGGTGGCTGCCTCGGGGCAGTGGGCACGCATGGCCTGGGTCTTCTCGCCTTTGCTCAGCCCCAACGTTCAGGAATAAATCCCACGAGGTCATGGGGTCAGAAAGGGAAATAAAACCCTCATGGAAATGTAAAACGGGGCAGGGGGACACGGCCCTGCAGCTCCCAGCGCTGCTGCCACATGTCACCACCATTCTTACCTCTGCCTCTCCGCTGAGCAGATGCTGGGGATGGGGCTGCCCACCAGTATAGCCAGTGCTGCCCACCAGTACAGCCTGTGCTGCTCATCAATATAGCCAGTGCTGCCCACCAGTACAGCCTGAGCTCCCCACCAGTATTATATTCAGTATCTCTGAATTATATAATTTCAGTTCCCTTTCCTTTTATTTATTTCTTACATTATGTCACACTTCTTTGAAGGCTGATCTGAGTCTCCACTTTACCATAGTTCTACCTTGCCTGATATCTCTTCACACTTTCCAAGAAAATTCACTATTCCTGTTTGATGGATATTTGAATAGTCCCTAACTTTCCAAGAAAATTCACTATTCTTGTTTGATGGATGTTTGAATAGTCCCTAAAATGTGTAATAGCATCAACAAAAAGGATTAAGTGCACCACCAGTGCAGCCTGTGCTCCCCACCAGTACAGCCAGTGCTGCCCACCAGTGCAGCCCATGCTGCTCACCAGTACAGCATGAGCTCCC